CACAAGTTTGGAGAACCCAAATCACCAAGATTGCATCAAGAAGCATCTAGGAAAGAATCGGAGTACTACCTCCTAGTGCATAAGTGAAAAAGAAGAGTTTGAGTAGCCTATGGAAGAGAGAAGGTGAAGTAAGAAAAGATGGAGGAGAAGGGGAGAGAGATAAGGGAGATGGAGATGGAGAAGAGGGGGAGGAAGACAAAGAGAATGAAAGTGAAGAGGAGGAAGAAGGAGATGAAGAGGGGAGCAAAGAGATGGTAGAAGGGGGGAGTGAGGAGAAAGAAGAGGAAGAAGAAGGAGAAGAAGAAGAAGAAGAAGAAGAAGAAGAAGAAGAAGATGGAGGTGAAGAAGTCTCTTCCTCCCTCTCACCTTGTTGATTTTTTGGTGTTGGTGTCCTCTTGATGAAGCTTCCTCTCCTTGCACAATCCCCCATTTGGCTATGGCTTCCTTCTTCTCCAAGCCCTTCTCTCCTCCTTCCTTGCTCTCCCTCAGGCTATGACAAGCTCCCCCAGCTATGGCTATGAAGTCCTCCCCTCTAGGAGGGCTAATGGGGATCCTCTAGCCTCTCCTTCTCTCCTACACCCAGGAGGGATATCACGGATCACCTCCCAAGTGTCTCTCCCACCATCACTATCCTTTAGAGTCCTCCCTACTACCTCCTAGTCTCCTCTAAGCTCTCCCACTAGCATGGGTTCCTCCCTCCTCACTCTAAGTGCAAAGATGCTCCTGTGAGCTCACTTGGGCAGCATGGGCACTCCTCATGCAAATGTGAGAGTGGCGGACTGCATCCTCAGCTTATGTAGGCTGAAACCAGCAGTCCGGCTAGCCCATGAGCCTCCCCATGAGCCTTGAGGTGAACCGAGGTACCCCCAAGGCAAAATTCCCTCACTAGGCTCTCCTGGAGGTACCTGGGCCTCATTTTGGCCAAGTACATGCAGTCCGAGTGGTTGGTACCAACTCGAACTGCCTCTTGGCCTACTCCAGCCTCCTTTTTGCCTCACAAATGCTGCCCCCTTGGGTCCTAGTGCCCAAGGGGCATTTTTACTTGAAAGTAAAAGGCCTTGTGGGCCTTTTTCTTGATGTTTTTAAGTTTCGGCCTCTTTCGACTAGGCCGGAGCATTTTCTCATATGGCGGCACATTTCCAGCCTTGGATCTGGGTGAGATCCGAGGCCAACAATAATCCGAGCTACCCCCTAGTAGCCCTTGCTTCAATTTTGAGCCCCTAAGTCCAGTTTTTCAATTTTTGGTACATTTGGCTCTCTTTTTGGGCCAAATGCACTGTTTTGCCATTTTCCCTCTTTTGTTTCTTTCCATTTTGGGTCGCCACCTCATTCCGGAGCTAGCCGTTTTGAGATGGCCCACAAAAAACAGCTAGTTCCTCTCTACCATGAGATCTGGTCTCAGATCCATGGCCCAAAAGAAAACCGGTCACTTTCTTTTTGCATTTTTTCTAATTTTCAGCTTTTTAATTCGAATTTATCTCTGCAATCCGGATTGCCCTCCCTCATTATAGGAGGGATGAGGTCACAGTTGGGACCTGCCAGTCCCTAGTGTGCAGGTCCCAATAGGCCGGCACACTCTCCTCCACTCTTTTCTCCCTTTTTGTCTCATTCTCCCTCCTTTTTCTCTCATTTTTTTTTCTTTTTCTTTTATTTCTGTTGTGACAGGTGTCAAAATGTTGTGCATCCTCTTTCTAGGCCCTAGGGCCTCATTCAAGGCCATGTTCATGGCTGTTACTTGGCCGTTACATCTCGGATTACAATAATGGCACCCCCGTGCTCTAGGGGGCTCCATTTTGCTCCCGTTTGCCCAATTTTGAGCCCCTTTTGCTCCGATTTTCTAAGGGCAGCCTTTTTCTCATGTTGAACCTCTCAAGGCTCTATTTTTTTATGCCTTGCTAGTCCGAGATATCCCGGACTGCTGGGCAGCCTTCCCAACACCCTTATTTCACTTTTCTTTCTCCCATGGCTCTCCCACTTGCTCCCACTTGCACTAGTGGTGCTAATATTTTCCACCGTCCAGATCCTCGATCTTGACGGTGCCGCTTGCTTGCACAATTATTCCTTGTGTTTGCTTATGGTTCCCTTGGCACATCCCAAGTCCCCGCCATTTTTCTACATGCTAGCTCC